AGCGTCTTATGCAAGGAAGTAAGCCAAGGAGAGAACTGCGTGGTTGCGAAACTGCCCATACTTTGTCTCTGCAAACAGGCTTCCTCCTATCACTAGCCTCTAATCACGAGTGAAACTGCCAATAGTTTCTCTCTGCAAACAGACTTCCTCCAATTAGTTTGTTCAGCACCAGCTGACGTCAGTTACATAAGGCTCATGACTGGAGGAAGTCTGTTTGCAGAGACAAGCTATTTCACTCGTGATTAGAGGCTAGTGATAGGAGGAAGCCTGTTTGCAGAGACAAAGTATGGGCAGTTTCGCAACCACGCAGTTCTCTCCTCGGCTTACTTCCTTGCATAAGATGCTCTTCAATTTTTAGTGTAACAATTTTAGAAAAAAGTATCGTCTTATAGACGGAAAAATATGGTATATTGTGTATAGGATGTTGGCCCATTCTCCCACGGTCTTATTTATATTTATGTTTAATTGTTTTTAATAGTTTTTTACACTTGTTTTTAATTGTTTTATTGTACACTGCTCAGAGTCATGTTTGTGAGATGGGTGGCTATGTACACTTGATTCACACACACACACACACACAGAGCCATCTGGTAAATATGGTACAGTTTTCAAAGATTGAGTACACCCAAATCTTCAGGAAGTAAAATAGCATGAAATGTGTGTGCATGTGTGTGCATGAACATGCATGGACAGGTTTGGAGATTATTCATTCTACAAATCTGATTTGTTAACTGACAACTTAACATGGAATCAGAAATGGAATATTTAGCCTACAATCTTTAGGGATGAGACTGTATCCTCAGGAGCAGAACTCTTTGAAATGTCGCATTTCTTTTGATTCTTTTCTTTGTTATGCATGTGATGGTATGCATCGGTGATATCAGACTTCCTCAACACTGGCTTTACAAATTTGATTAACCAAACCACATAACTCCAGAGTATTAAAAAATCTGTAATCAAGATGTCTTGGTCTACATCAGCTTCCCTAATCCAGGGTCCTCAATTCCCATAATGGCCATGCTGGTTGAAGAATTTTCAACGTCTCTGAAAGATATCAGATTGGGGAAGACTCATTTTCCATTAGGAGCTTGTCAGTCATTCCATTTTTTGATTGACAGTAATCTTGCATACAATGTAAAAAGTGCTTAAGCGATTTGCTGCAGGGAACAATTGCTGCTAAGGAGCAACTTTCTCTCCAAAATCTACTAGTTGGATTACTGCTAATTTGACCTTTCCCAGAGGATGAGGACCTGAAGTTCAGATTTTTCAGACCCTTTAAGGCAATGTTACAAAGAAAAATTGAAGTTCAACCAACCAACCAACCAACCAACCAACCAACCAACCAACCAACCATGCAAGCAAACAAACAAACAAACAAACGAAAGTCAGTGAAAAATCAAACTTTTTTTTTTTTGCTTTTGTTCCAACACATATCTAATGAAAGAACAAAGTTTATAAGCTTGTTTGCAGAAGGTTTTTGAAACCTGTAAGGGTAGGTTTACTGTATGGCATAGTTTCTTCCATTATGACTCTCTAAATCATATTTGTTTTCAATTGTCATGGTTTATCTAAAAATGTAGATAAATCAGATACACATTTTAAATATGTTTCATGTAATTATTCATAGTGCCTCAATAAAAGTTGAAAGGTTTCCGAAATGTATGAAATCAGAGGAAAATACATAAGATTTTATTGGGGGGTGGAGAATGGATAAATCTTTTTATTAAAGTAACTTTTACAGATGTAAAATCAAGTTGTTACTTTGAAAACAAAACGTTATGACTTGATTTGGATTATATTTAAAAGTAATTGATCTGTAAGTTAAAAGCACATTTGGTGGGTGCTTTTACCACAAAATATCAGTTTAGTAGGAATTCAACTATAATTTATAATTTCAGTTTATAATTTACAAAAATATAGTCATATAGTTAAAATAGAATTTAATATACAGAATTCAGAACTCTTATCTTTTAGTAAAGAAGTAAACATTGCTATTTAGTTCCTCTGTGCTGCTCTGTTGTTTTGTTCATCTCATAGGGCCTGGAGAAAAAGTCCCTTCCAAGTACAAAATGTTTAGACTTGCTCTGTTCTCATCCAATCCACAGCTACCCCAGCTGTTCCAAAAATCTTGGGATGAAAGAGTTGGGAGATCAGCTTATTTGAGCTAGCCTAGATCATATAACTAGAAAAAAATAGGAGGGGCAAAAGGAATTTTAGGGAGGAGGCTATAGGCCTAGCCCTCATGATTGCTGGATAATCAGCTTGTAGCTTCTAAACCTACAAAAATAAATGATTTGCTGCTCACTCCATTGTTTACCCTATCCCTCAAGACTGGCAGAAGGAAATGGGCCAGATCCACCAGCCTCTATAAAAGTGAACAAGAAAGGCAACACATAAAGAAGGTACCCAATCCTTCCTTTTCTTTGGGAGATATTCTCTGGTAGCAGAAATGCATCCCCCCACTTCAGGGTAATAACTGTAACGACAATGTAGAAAGGCTTCCCACTGTATAGATTTTGGGCATTGGTTTGGGGAAAATCAGTGACTTCAACATTTTTGGGGGGTGCTTTTAGGATGCAGTATTAAACTTATTTATGACTATAATTTTTTTCCAAGGGGAAAAAAAATCAGGAAAAACCTAGGAAAATACTCCTTTCCCTGCCTTTATGACATTTCCAGCTGTCATATTTTTATGCTGTCTCATGGCAGTCTAGTCTGCTAGTCTACTGTCTACAAATTCTTTGCTGATCCTGAAAGATTATGTGGGGTTGAACTTGGATGAGATATCCAGGAAATATCAGGGTTGTAATCTAGATTTGGAAATAATAATAATCCTAGGTCCTTTGGAAGGACTCGATAGGTGGACAAAAACGCCAAATCCAGCCTAAACATCTGGCTGACTGTGCGACCAACCATAATAATAATAATAATAATAATAATAATA